GTTTTAGGGTTTTAGGTTTTAGCGTTTTAGGGTTTAGGGTGTTAGGGTTTAAGGTTTTAGGGTTTAAGGTTTTAGGGTTTAGGGTTTACAGGTTGGGTTTAGGGTTTAGGGTTTACAGGTTGGGTTTAGGGTTTAGGGTTTAGAGGTTGGGTTTAGGGTTTAGGGTTCAAAGGTTGGGTTTAGGGCTGGTGCTTCAGGAGAAGTGGAAGTTTCCCAAAATTTAGGGTACCTTGTTAGGGTTTGGTATAGTAAGGATTATTGCAGTATTTGGGTGTCTATATTGGGGTCCCCTATTTTGGGAAGCTACCAAGTGGCTTCATGAATGTAAGGACTTTAGGATGTAGGAAAACTAAATCATGTGGGGTATCTGGTAAGGGTTTAGGGTTTTCGGTTTAGGTGCTTCGGGAATAGTTGGGACATGACTGTGCTTAAGGATGTAGGAACGCTATATCCTGTAGGTTATCTGGGAAGAGTTTAGGGTTTTACGTGCAGGCGCTCAAGTGTGAATAGGTACATCGAAAAACACCGTGTAAGCTATTGCAGGTTTAGGCTTAGGGTTTGGGTGCGTCAGGGCGGGGCGGCAGAATGAATTTATGACTTTACTAGAAGGACGCATTACCGTAAGAAAAATTAGAGTGGAACTATGCGGGGGGGAGGGGGGGGGGGTATCTGAAAATTAGGGAATCGCTGATAGATAGATTCCATCGCGGGGTCTAGAGTCTAGAATGGGGTTCTCCAATTTCCGGGAATTCCCATACGCGGATTCCTACAAGAATCCAATGCCCCCCCCATTTAAACGCCAGTAAGTCCTTGAAAGCCCCAAAGCCGGGCCCAGGAGCTTGGGGCTCATGAATGCTCTACAGGACCAAAGAATTCGATGAACCCTAAACCCTAGACCCTAAACCCTAAACCCTAAACCATAAAGCAGCGCTTACTGGAGAGTCTAGAGGGGAGTAAAGTATTGTTGGGTGCCAGGGTTCAGGTTTAAAATCCTATGGGCAGGCCGTTCACGTTCGTGTACAGGGCAACTGCGGTTACGGATGCCATGCCACGGACCCTGTTTTCAGACAGACAGGTTTGGTCTAGCTCTTCTTGTAGCTTGAAACCTAACTCCTAGACCCAACCTGAAGCCCAAGCATGTCCAGGTCTCCAAGTAGGGCAAACTTTTTGGATGCTCATCATCACAATAATAGGTTACTAGTTGCATGCTGGAAAACGAACAGCCAAGCGCACCCTGAACCGTTAACCTTGAAACCTGGCTGTTCTTGTCAACGAGGTTCCATCGCCGCAAATCACGCGAGCTATGGAAGATGCGTCCGATTGCCTCAGAGAGAAGAATTTTGCCGCTGGGGTGCAGGCTCGGGCTCGGGACTCGGGATGTTCTAAGAACTTGCTCTTCACGAAAATGCGGCATGGGCACCTTTATGCCTGCGTCAGTATTGCTGGTACTTCATGTTCGGCTACAATTGGCATTGCTAGCCTACATCAACCACATGATTCTGTTTGCTGCTTGTCGGAGGCCAGTCTACGGCAGCAGCCAGGATCTGACCTGTGACAATTTCTAGTTGATTGCAAGTAGCACTGTCTGCCTATCATCTCTGTCATGTCTACAACATGTTAGCTAACCTCCTGACTGCCAGTAGTGCGCGCAATATGTCTGAAAGCAATGATACCTTACTAGTGATATGCCATTGAGGATTCAAGGTTGTAAGTGACAACCAATTTTCAGAACTGTGGCTTCCTTCTTCGGGGATCCTAATGAAGAGCCCTGGACCCTTTTTTGAAGCGATGTTTCAGCCTATGCAGATGGTGGCTTGTGCAGAAAATTCGCCCCAATTTTGCTTACTTTCAGAGTAGTGCAGGCCAACAGGCCGGGAACGAGTTCCTAGTGTGATGTTCACAGTTGAAAGTCAGGGGCAACCCTAAGCCGGAAGCCCGAAACCCTAAACCCGAAACCGCTAAACCCTAGCCCCTAGGCCCTTAGCCCCCAACCCTACACCCTAAATCCTTGGCCCTAAACCCTGCAATCCTCATGCTTTCTAGACACGGAGAGCTCGGTGAGATCGGCAAGAATTCGCCTGCATCCCCTGGCCAAAGCTCAGAATCTGAGCCTTAAGATTACTGGGTAGCTGTGGTAGTGGTAGTTGTTGGTTTGTTGGTGTTGTTGTTGGTGTTGTTGTTGGTGGTGTTGTTGTTGTCGTTGAATGGAGATGTACAAAAGAAGATGGAAACTACCATTCAAGGTCCGGGGTTGGGAGGAACACTGTAATCCCCAAAACTACCCTACAAACAACCAGACAGCCAGGTCTGGGGCCTAGGGTTCAGGCTTCGGGCCATTTGATCGGCTGCTCGCGCTCCTCCGAAGGTGGACATGCGGAGGATCACGCTTTGGCTGGGAAGTATACAGGGATTCGTTCCGCCTTTTCAAGGTTGCAGCTATTCCCGAAAGGCCTACAGCTCGAACGAAAAAAAGGACAGCAGCAGGATGAGTGTACTACACCCCATGTTGACTTCAAGAGCAGGCATGTTTAGGTGCCCCTGAAGCGGGGTCAGGGATTTGCAGCTCTGTACGAGAAACCCTTTGCGACCCACTGGTGGTTGCACATACCTGCTTGCCTTGTACATTTTTCCTTTTCAACGTCCCCTTATGCACTCCACCATGTTTCAACAGGTTCTCAGAAAGTGTCCGATTTCAGCCGAAGGTCTAGAGTGGTCTGTAGGCCCACACTGGGTTGCGGTTCAGGATCTTAAATCAAGCTACCATAATATAGATATCAAGTAAATAACAGAATTTACTTTTGATGGTAACTTAAGCCAAGTTCCTTAACCAGTACAATGCCCAACACCGAGCCCAATCATCAGCCTCAAACCTTGCTGAAACCCGCCAAAATACAACAGCATGGATACCCTTTGTACTGCCCTCAGCCCATAACAGTCTATAACAGGTGCCATGCACTTTATATATCTACATTGTGGTGATTCTTCAACTGCTACTGACTGGGGGCAGGATCCAACAGGATAGATACCGTCAACCAAGATGACAACAGGTCCAGAGCAGGATCAATCAAAAAGCACGATATCCTTTTTGTGTCGCCCCAAGCATCCTTAAAGCAATGCCTAAGCAGCGCGACCCCCGAACCCCAATCCCTCTAAAAATGTTCTTTTTTCTCTTCCCTGAACCCTAAACACGTCCCCCTGTTCACATCGTCATGGCATCGGCCCGCTGCCAAGGTGATAATCGTGCACGCAGTTGTCAAAAATGAAGGGCTTATGGCTTGACACAAGGCTTCAAGGGGCCTGAATGAAGGTTTAGGCTTCAGGGTTTAGGGTTTAGGGCTTAGGGTTTAGGGAGAATGGAGGGTCAGACGAAAAAGAACACGGGAAAGGAAATGACAACTGGGGTTATATACATATGCGCAAAGGAAGGTAGCCACAAGAATTACCGATATCGTGCAAGTCGACTTGCGGTTCCCGGATCATACCTACGAGGAAACTAGGACTGTAAGAGTGAATATTTCGGGCTTAGCAGTAGCACACTTGAGGAAAGCGCGGAAGCCAGCTTCTAGTGAGTTAGTATGATACTGAGAAAAATCGGTGTAGCACCAGGAAAAAGATGCTCATCATAGCCATTTCTTGGCAACTGCTTCTTTCAAATTCAAAGCCCGGGCACTCAGTGTCCCCACGTATGGAGGAGAATTGGTGACTGGGCATTTGAAAGCAGGTCGCGGAAAGAAACTCCATGTTGGCATATCAGATTTCAAGCTTGGCTGTCTTGACTTTTAGGGTTTAGGGTTCAGGGGGGAGCTGAACAGGGTTTACGGTTTGGGGTGGTGAGGACCCTTGTAACAAGCAAAATCGAACTGGCATGGTGTGGATTTCCATACAGGGGCGGCCCCTAATGTAGAACTCAATACCGTCCTCATTATAGGGACTTTTGCGGAAACTGTCACACAATAGACAGGTTCAGAAGGTCTCGCATCAATTCTCTTTCGCCACTCCAAGCCCCCAAAAAATCCAAGCTGCCAAGGGAGATCGTGACATTGCAAGGCTTCTAAAGGAAGACTCTTTCTCTACACGTCCGACATACCCGTGCTACTTGCCTCTGCAAAAACACGCAGACCGGCTGTTCTTGCCAGTAGTTTGTGGCCTACATACATTCCCGGCCAAAGCAGTCGACGAGTGAACAGGCTAATACTTAGGACCTGAACAGTGACGGGTTATAGCTTCGAGAAATGCCGACTTGTTGGACGGCAAATTTCCGTGTGGCCTAGTTGGTTCGTTCCAGGGTTGAGAGCGTTGACCTCAGCTGGAAAAAAACATCGGCACGTGATCAATGTCAATGCTACAGGACCCTGACGTGGGATCCCGCAAACAAATGGCTGTAGATTGGGTCATTCCCCCTTACAGTAACTGTTACCACAATGGGTTATAGGAGTTATAAGAACCCCCTTAATAAGGCCGCTTTAAGGACAGTTACCGGGAGGGGGAATGACCCAAGCTGTAGAACATATCTGGACCCTGCCCTGCAACTACAGAGTTGCACCTTCTTTCGAACCCTGTCCATGCCCAAATACCATTCGCGGCTGCTTGAAATCTCACCATAGGATATGGCCTGCTAGATTTCACGGCTCATAAGCGTGTTGAGCGTGATGAACCTTGGCTTCAAGCGCAAAACCCAAACGCGCACCAAAATTCAGGCCACCTTCAGGTGCAAACGCTCCAACAAAAAAATTGCAATCTGGTCCCCATCTCCTGGACCCCAAAATGCCCAACAACATCCAAGAAGCCCTTGCAAGATACCCCTGTCGGTCACGTAGAGGACACCGTCACTCTCTGCGACCTCCGTCATGTGATCACCAAGGTCAAAGGGAGTCCAAGGGGGCAGGGAGCTAGCCATACACGTTGATCAAGGGCTAGCCTGGCATGCCAGTGCCTTTCATGATTTTGTACGGGGACCTGGTTACGCAACATGTCAAGCCCATCTCAGCATGTTCCGCCAGCCCCGCACAAAAATGCGTGGCCTGGTCCTTTCAAGGCGTATTCCCTTGCAAGCTTCTACAAAAAGAGGCACGACAAACACAACTCTGAACTGCAACAGCGCCATACATGGAAAAGCCTCTCAACGCGCCCCAGCAAAATAAAGGAGAAGCGGATTTTGGCATAGCCCTCATTGATAAATCTCCGGGATCAAAAGCTGATGCCTTACATCATGGCCTTCATGAGCAGATAGGCATCCTTCACAGTACAGTCGGGCGACACCTCTCAGTGCATCAGTCTCCGGGCTCAAGCTTTTGAAGGGTTGGAGTTGCTTTGGGATTTGTGGGGTGCTAGGGGTCTACTTGGAGGGTCAGGGGGACTTAGTAAGTAGGTTAATAATGGGGGTAAGTGGGGTTACTATATGGTTTTCTGAGCATTTATAAGGGTTATTAGTATACTTATTCAGACCACCTGACCCTCCAAGTAGGGTCTAGGGCTTGAGGTGAAGAGTCTGGGATGATTTTGGGGGTCATGTGGGTGGTTGTCAAAATTATGATCCCTTTTTGGATCCCTATTATCATACGGCACCTAATAACATATTTAGGGTCCCCATAAAGGGACCATAATTTTGACAACCACCCATGTACATCATTGAAGGCCATCAGGCCCGTGGACTGTGAGACAGCCCGGCCGACACGGGCGAGCGCAACCTTAAGTAAGGCGTGAATCCACGGTAACCATATAGCCTACAACAAACATAGCGCAAAAGTGTACATCCTTGGTAGTCCTAACCATCTCACCTAATTCAGCCAAGCTTCTCGCACCGGAGACCCCTCCACAAGCGGCTCCGACCCATCCGGCGGCGCTTGGAAATGAGGGTCCAGGAGGTCAACTTCCTCAAGGGGCTTTACGGATGCCATGCACTGCCTATGGTACAAAGAAAATTTTCCACATAGCATTTGGGCACCGTCGATGGAGACTTTGGGCCGAGGTAGTATTCAGGCATCAGTAGTGGTTAGGTCTAGCTCCTCCAGGTGGTTGTGAACAAAAACCGAGAGCATTCCTTACTCGACTTTACTCGCTCTTACTGGACTCTACTCGCTCTTACCGTGAATGTTGGCTGTGAAAAACGTATTCCCGGCCCTGGTAAGGGCCGAGGTTCAGGGCGTCGAGTCCGCAACGTCTTAGGAGCTTTAGAAATCATAGGCCCCGTTTTCAGCGTCCAGGTCTTCAGACCGTGCTCAGACTGGACCTAGTGGTACCAAGCCGAAAGTTTGACACAGGATCCAAAACGAACATGTTCCGGGAAATGATAAAAAAGGGTTCCGAAAACATGGGAGCAAGCAGCACGTGCTGGTCTCTGGTGACTAGCTCTAGATTTAGAAGTTCTAAACGAATCACTAACCACCGTCGAAATCAAAATCACATGGTGACATACATGAACCTGATTGACCCCTGAACCCTAAACCCCTACAGTAAACCCTAAACCCTGGATCCCTAAACCCCTGAACCCCTAAGCTTAAGCCTGCCGGCTTACTAGACTTATTGGTTCTTAAATTCGTAGGGAATAACGGAATATATTCTATAGGGATTATATAGGGATTCTGCTCCTTTATTCCCCTTATACCCTACTAAGAACCAATCAGCAAACCCCAAACCCCTCCAGTAACCCGTAGACCCCTAAACCCCTAAAGCAAGCCTAAGCCTTAGTAGAACCAAGCTTAAGGGAACCTGAAGCCTGAAAGTTTCAGGCGGCCCTTGAGGCTTGAGCTCGTGTGTTAGAAGTTGCATGACTTGCGACTTGCTCTACAGGGTAGAGCCTTAAGGATTCTGGTGATAGAAAGGGACTATGATGTAAGGGCGGGATAATGGGAGTCTTTACTGAAGATTCCTTGATAAACCCTAAACCCTAAAGGCGTAAGGCTTGCGGCAGAATTCCTAAGGCTTCCCCCTGTAGAGGTGGTTGAATATCTTAGGTCCTTGGGTTGCACCATGAAGCTGTAAGTGGACTCATTCCCCAATGCTCCAGGGGAGCAGGCTTGTTGAACTGATTTAAGGGTTCAGGGTTTAGGGCTTAGGGGATGAACATTTCAGCAGCCTAGGACCATAGCTTGTGAAGCTGAAAGCTCCAGTCCTGGCTCTCGGATATCCAAACAAGACATACCAAAACAACGCCCCAAGAAAAAAAAAAGAACACCTAGCCGCACTACCACGAAGCCACCCCAATTTTTACTATATAATTAAACCCTAAGCCCTGAACCCTAAACCCTGTTCTGCCCCCCACCTTGTCTGGCATACCACCCGAGGGGTCAGCGACTCCTTCGGAGCACAAGGCGACCACGACAGCTCAGGGTTGGATGGGCTCTGGGTTGGCCCCTAAGACCCTCTGAAAAAATATTAGTATATAGGGTCCCTTATTAAAGCCCCTATAGGGGCCTACCCAGAAGTTGCCTACCAGGTTTAGGGCTAGAGTTTAGGATTTCGGGTTTAGAGTTTGGAGTTTAGGGTTTAGAGTTGTGGCAACCTTGAACCGTAAACCGTGGTCTAGGGGCTAGGGGGCAGGTCCTCCAGAAAGAAAACTGTTCTGCAACCACTGGGGGCCATGTTTCGGATCCCCCTGAATGGTTTGTATGGAGCAGTGCTCGGGAGACCCATACGGTAACTGTTTAGGTTTTGGGCTTAGTACTTTAGTACAGTCCCTACTAAGCTCTGCATGAAACCTCACCTGATGCCGACCATTAACTGCTGGTGTAGGCGGGCCTCGTATGAAACAATAGGTCAGAGGTAAGCAAAAGCCTTTGATTTAAAATCTTTCTGGTATCACAACGGTAAACCCTAAATGCATATCACAATGAAGCTGTCAAATCAAGGCTAATTACGAAATTCCTCTCGCAGTGTCAGGGCCAATGGAACTTGGGCTCTACAATGCCCAGAACCAAAACAACCATGTAGACTGTCGATCCCATAAGAGTCTCTACAACCCACCCTAAACCCTAAACCCTAAACCGTAAGATCCCTTCAGACCCCCCAACCCATCTGAGCGGGATTTTCCTTGCAGAAAGCGAAACTACGCAGTGGTGGTTAGAAGGGAAGAAGGGAATATGATCCCTATAAAGTCCCTAGATGACATGTTCCATTGTTTCCTACTCGGCCCCGGTAAGGCTAACTGGCAAGTCATCTGGGTATCCTCAGACAAGTGCAACCCTAAACCCTAAACTCACTCCTGGTGAATTCCCCCTTACAGTAACAGTTACCACAATCAATAATAGGATTTTGAGTAGCCTCTGAATAACACCTCTTTCAGGACAGTTATTGCAAGGGGGAATGACACTATTCCCTAGATCCCGTTTTCAGGAGGTGGTCAATTCTGACCGTTGTCAGTCTGGATTACCTAGATCCGAAATCCTGAAGCCTAGAGCCCAAAAAAACACCCTCCACAAGACTGACTATCCCTTCGAAAAGCTGCTTCTTCAAATGAATGGAGGAACCCTGAACCCTTAAAACCCTAAACCCTAGGTTGCACTAATCCCAGGTACTTAGAAGCCGCTCGACATTCCGCCGGGTCATCGTACCCTACAGGATAGCTTGGCTATGGGAAGTTTGAGACCTAGGGTTTCGGGTTTTAGGTTTTGGGGTTTGGGGGTTTAGGGTTTGAGGGTTTTAGGGTTTAGGGTTTAGGGTTTTAGGGTTTAGGGCTCAGGGTTTAGGGTTCTAGGGTTTAGGATTAGGAATTTAGGGTTTAAGGTTCAGATCTCAGGTTTGCTTGCTCGCTGATGAAAAATGCAAAGGAAAGGGAAATCGCTTGTTGTTGTTTTTTGGGGGTGGGGGGGAGGGGTAGTGGTGTTGTGGTGTAGGTGCTAATTACTATAGAGATCCATTCCTCCAGCTCTACGAACAAGCGGCAAGTTCGGGGTCAAGGTTTATTGGAGTTTCAGGGATGTAGGTTTTAGGGTTTGGGCGGAGTTCACACTGCAGCGGTCAAGATTGCCGATCACAAGCTTAGAAGTTTTCAGTGGTTAAGGCTAAAAGGTTCTAGAATGGTTGCATCAGGCCTGATCGAGCCTTAAAAAAACCAACTGCGGATCATAAACAACTAGAAACCCTGAACCTAAAACCCTACAACAGAGAAATCTTGTGGCCACTCGAATCCTGCAATGCCCTCCTTAGGATTCTACTACAATGGTTAGGAGGAATGCCTCAAGGAGCCCTTGATCGGAGATGTTCCAGTCCAAAGGCCGCACCACGGGAAAGAAGTCATGCTTTGTAGACGCCAAAACCTCCCCAGCTGAACACTTAGGGTTTGTGGTTAGGGGCTCGGTGTAGAGGTTAAGTGTTAAGCTTTGGGGCCAAGGGCTTAAGGTTTCGGGCTTAGGGTCGAAGATTCAGGGTGGCAATGAGGGATCCCGCTCAGCTTGGGTTTTGACATGCGGCTGGTGCTGCGGTGAGTTGTTTACCTAATGCACGGGCTCAAATAATTACCAATGTCATTTTGACACTTGATTTAACCTATACCAAAAAACATATCAGGAAGCTGGGACGACACACTCCCGGAAACTCACATGGAAACCCAAAAAGGGCCCTACAAAGACTACAGTCCTTCAAAAAGGGGACTATATGGGTTTCCATGTTAGTTTGGGGGAGTGTAATATTGGCAATGCTTCGGCCCCTACAGTATGCTTAAACCCTATACCCTAAAGCCCTATACCCTAAAACCC